CAGGTCTATGTCCCCAATTTTAAGTCCCCAGCTGGGACTTCTCTAGGGATAGGAGTGGGAAATTCAGGTCTTCAGATAGTTGGAAGATGTATGCTTATGATACAAGAACAGAAAACTGTAGTTTTGTGCTACACTATTTTGACAAGTCTCAGGAGAAAAACCACAAAGTAACTAGATGCAAAAATAACACCACAACCAGATCTGCCCAGAAGTTACAAGTTAGCAGATATACTTAGCACAGACTTAACATGGGAAAGGGTGTGCCTCACATTCCTGTCTCATCTATTATACCAGGCTGAAGCTAGGCAGGGCATTTCTAAAATGTCAACAATGCTGATGTCATACCTTTAATTTAAACTAAAGGATGCAATATCTGGTTTTGATTCCCATGACTCAAGGAAGTCTTTTCCTAGTCACCGGAGGAAAACCTGAAATCTATTGCTACTCCATTAAGACAAAGGTGAATAAAGAAGACCAAAAAAGGGGGGTAGGAAAGGAACAGGGAGTAAAAGAATCAAAAGAATCTTGGTAATACATGTAGAGATACATAATAAATCTGCATAAGAGGAAAACCTGAAATCTATTGCTACTCCATTAAGACAAAGGTGAATAAAGAAGACCAAAAAAGGGGGGTAGGAAAGGAACGGGGAGTAAAAGAATCAAAAGAATCTTGGTAATACATGTAGAGATACATAATAAATCTGCATACTTTGTTTTGCATCTTGTCCCTAGGAGTTGTTTAATAAATAGACTTAAACTAATTAAACAGAGAGATTTATGAAAACAGAAATGATAACGTGACAGAAAAAAAGACACTGCAGGTAGAGAAAATAACTAACATAAAGAGTGGAAGAAGATGATAAAAGAGTGCAGTAAAAAAGAGTGCAAAAAGGGAAGAAATAGAGAATGGTGTATTGGAGTTGTTAGGGAAATACGTACAGATAGTGCATAGTGTGTAAATGTGAGAGGGAGACAGAGAGAGAGATTGAAATTAACACATGCAAACTAGAGCTTGGAAAGAAGTGGATGGAGGGAAAATTGAAGGCTACAGGAAAGCAAAAGCAATCATGGGAAGGAGTTAGAGGACATCCTGTGTCACCCTCTTGGTCTTTAAATTCAGCTGCTAACAGGGGAAATCTAATTTGTGTATTATGTCTAATTTCTTTCCCTTTATTTCAACTATTCCTTTATCGGATGAGTTCTTAGAAATAGAAAATCGTATTTAAGTAAGGATAAACCCATATAATATCATGTTGCCTTGAACTTCAAGGTAGATTGAAATGAAACCCAAGATTTAAGAACAAAAAAATAAATTTGGCAGAAATCTGGTTTTCAGCCCAGAAATGTACCAGCTTGATAAATTTGCTATTACATGTTTTTTTGAAAAGTGACCACAGTTTAAGTATATATAACAGAAAGAAGAGGTCTATTTTGCCTTTATTTGGGAAAACAATTATATGCTGGGGATTTGGTGAGTTGCCTATCCTGTATGAAGCAAATTCAGGTCACACCAATGAGTAATAATTATTAATGCACTTTAAAAGTAAATTTTATGAAGTATTTTTAAAAAGACTTTTTATATGTAAGCAAGTCCTTTAACATCTTAGGACCACAGTTACTCCATCCGTAATAAAGAAATTATTTTAGATGAAGAAGTGTTTCTCTGCTTCAGCCTGAGTAGCACCACTTGTATTGGTTTAAATTTGGGCTTACTATGTTCAATTGTGTTTGAAGAAAGGATTCTGAAGCAAAAAGATAAAACCACCTCACACCAGAAGATCCCTCTCCCAACTACCTGCCCTCCAGGAGGAGAGGACCCAGCACTCCTGCTTGGTCCTACAAGGCCCCATCAGGACCTTTCTTCCTCCCCCCATTGTTTAAGACTCCATTCCCAACCCCTTTATCTAGGGCCCTTCCTCTTACCCTCCCATGCCTTTTTGGAGCCTGATTCTGATCCTGCCCCCAAATCCCTGGCCCTTGCAACCATTTATTCATTCATTCAGCAAGGCTTTACTGAGCACCTGCTATGTGCTAGGTGTGTTCTAGGAGCTGGTTTTATGCAAACAAAACAAAAATCTCTGTGGAGCTTACATAGAAGCAGATAGAGATGGACAATAAACAATTAACTTTGAACATAAATAAATTATACAAAACACTCGATGGTGATAAGTGCTATAAAACCTCAACAGATTTCCATATTTATATTTCCCTCTTGCAGTTAGGTCAGGACCAGGTGACTCATGCTAGCCAATGAAATATGAGAGGAACAAGCAGTTAAAAGCTAGTGTGCCTCCAAAGAATGAGTACACTTTGTAATGACGAATACACCAACTATCCTTATTTGATCATCACATATTGTACACAAACACTGATAGTCAACTCTGTATCCCACAAATATGTATAATCAATTAAGTTTCAATAAAAAAATTTAATTTTAAAAAAGTTCTTAAAAATTAGGTTTAAATTAATCTGATCATATCAATTTTTGAGTTAATTTATGAGAATTAATCTGAGTAGTGTAATGAAGACATGAACAACGCATGTCTTAAGACGTATTCTTTTTAAAACCACTAAGACTTAATGGAAACAAGAAATAAAATAAAAGCCAGTGTATATCTTTCACCCTTACCCTGACATGCAATCTTACAAGACATTAGTCTAGGTACCATGGCTGTGAGACGGAGGTCATTCAACCTGCATTGGAATGTGACATGAGCAAGAAATGAACCTTTACTGTGTTTATGCCACGAAGATTTCAGGGTTGTTTGTAACTGGATCATAAGTGTAAGCTATTTGTGCCAACATCTATGAAAGAAAGGGAACTAAATAATTGTAACAATAATTTTCTTCTTTTTGATGGTTAAGAGCACTAAAAAATCATCAATTTTTACCCCCTCATTGATTGACAGAGGTATAAAGGTATAATTCTGCCAGGAAAGAAATAAGTAATGGTAAATTATATTTAGGTTGCCCTTTTAGGACTTCATAAACATTCAATGAGGTATTTTAAGCAAGTATTTTGATTCATGGACACAATTTACTTTTCCTGGATGCACATAACAGTAAAATTTCATTGAAAAAAATTACTTAGTAGAAAATGTGTAATTTGTTTTCATCTAATCAAAATATTTCCTGGGCCATTCAAAGTTTCCTGGCTATTTCCCTGACTTAAATCTCAATTTGGAAGGATTTTTTTTTTTTCTATAAACAATTGCTATAACAACACACAATTAAGAGAGATTAAAATATTAACCCAGAATCTACAAGCAAATGCAAAACACAGGCAATATAAGCTCTAAGCTGTGCACTAGAGAAAGTTTATGTTTATAAACTTGCCTATATTTTAACTCATGGGATCATGCTAAGACCCTTGTCCACATTTTGCTTTAGTGGACCTCAAAAAAACATTTTGGAAGATAGTCTCGAATTCTTAAAGATTCATTAATAAATAAAACCAATTTGTATAGAAATATTAATATTCAGGGCCAGACTTACAAGTGGGTAAAATAAGAGACCATCAAGGGGTAGCAGGAAGGCCCCAAAGATTCTCCCTACAGCCTATCATGGTACCTAAACCCCTACCATTAGCATCTCTTTCCTTTGACTCTTGAAGGATTTTGTTTCTCTGTGGTCCCTTAATCATAAAATGCAGATATCCCTAGAATGGGCAGTATCTAGAGATCATTCCATGAATACTTAAGAAGAATAACTTTGGCAGGAAAGAACAAGACATGGCTGGAAAAAAACAGTCAGTGGATACCATGCTGAGGTGTACAGGGTTGAATGGTGTGACGATGGTGATAATAAAACCATGGTCTAAAGTAAAAGGCAACAGACGATCAACTTGATTAATAAATCAGAATATTCCTCCTGAACACCTACTATCTTCAAGGCATATGCCTGGCACTGTGCGAGGTACAGAAATATGAGGAGTCTTCAAAAGTTCATGGAAAGATTTGTATTATCTTTTAATTCTACTTTTCCACAAACTTTTTGAAGTACCTTCATAAAGGAGGCAAGATGACTGTTTTCATGAGTTTGCAGTCTGGTGTTTTGTCTTTGTTGTGGAGCCAGAAAATGGACAGATGGTTAGCCTTAGAGCTAGAAATAAAAGTGTGGCCTGTATTCGTCCTTAGCACATCTGCACAGGGCTCCAGGGAGGTCAAGGTCAGGCAAGCGAAGGGCATTACGGGATTGAAGAGAATGAGATCTAGAGACGAGGGAAGAAGGACGAAATAAACAATGACCTGATAAAGCCATTCTCCTCCCCTTGGTAAACATTTTTACTCTTTAGCGTGAGAAGAGATTACAGACTTTGATGCCTGGAGAATTTTATGTTCTTCCACCAAATAAAAAGAACATAAATTGGATCTCAGATAATTAGTTTGTTTTATTGCTTTTTGGTTTTGAGATTTTTGTTCGTGTGTGTGTTTTCAAATACTTACCATCAAACCTTGCAAGTCTGTTCATATCTCCTCCAAGTTCTGAGGTAACTGATAGCGCATGGCGTACTTTTAGGTTTGTTTCCCTGTGAAGTTAATAATATGACATAGATTTTTATATGGAACAGCCCAACAGTGTCTTACCAAAGCAATCAGGTGGATGCAGTACATGCAAAACCCAACCCAAGAGACTGAAGAAACCCCCTCTGTATGTTATTCACACTTCTCACATGTTCTCAGGAAAGTACGCGGGGCTTCTCAAGCTCCTAGGAGCTGGCATTTCCCCCACGGCACATCTGTATAACAACAGTTATCTGTTTTTCAGTTTGAAAGAACAGAGGACATAATAAATATGGTTTCATTCTAATCTGCCCAGACATCATGCATGAGTTATAAAAC